CCGAGACCAGGCTGTGATTTACGTGCGGTGTCAGCCTGGGCGAGTAGCCACGTGCCTATATATGGCAGCTCCTTGGCCATAAAGGGGGCGGGACGGGCTCTGCCCGGGACGGGCTCTGCCTTCCTGGGGAGCCGGAGCCGGGCAGTGCCGCCTCCCGCCCTGAGCCACTGTCCTTCCGCGCGGTGAGTTGCTTCCTTCCTTCTTTCCTCTCCTGATCGGTGCTCCCCGGAGCTGAGGCCGGGGGCACATGCCGGTGCACCGCTGGCTGCCCCTGGCTGCCCGGGTGGACGGGCCTCAGGGCGGGAACCAGGTCTGAGGTTTGGTTTCTTGGACAGATTCTGACGCCGTCTGTATTTCCCGTCGTCATGGTCTCCCTGTGGCAGTGTCCCAGGTCCCTCCCAGCACCACGTGGGGGGACCCCGACTCTGGAGCACCCCTCCCAGGTCCCCCATCAGTGCACTGATGTCAAAATTTTCGTGAGTCTCAGAAGGAAAGGGTCGGTCACGAGAGTTCAGAGGTGAAAAGTGGGAAGTGAAATCAGATATTTTCTTAAGAAAACAGGGAGCTGGGGTCGTGTGTCCTGGGCCTAGATGCAGCGTCGAGGGGGCAGGGGAGGGGACAGTTCTCGTCGGTGTTTCCATGTCCCCCCAGGACGGAGGTTCTCGTGGCTGTTTTCTGTGCTCTGATGTGTGATCGGCCCGCAGGGGTCAGCTCGGTGCCGCCGCGGGTCGAACATCCTGGTCACGCTCTCAGAACCCTGCCCGACAGGTGGGGTCCCTGCGCCCCATGGTCGGGAGGGGGCGGCAGGGAAGGGGCGCGGGGTGCCGGGCGGGGTGAGGCATCCCGTCCCCTCCCTCCTTGCCGCCCTGTTCCCGCTGAGCAGAGGAGAAAGGTGACGTGAAGGAGACCCTTAGTGACCGGGTCTGGGCTCCACTCAGTGATTTACCTGAAGCTGAGGTTCAACGAGGGGCTGTCACCTCCACGGCTCCTCCTCAGGGAAACACGGGAACTCTGTGCGGAAAACTCCTGGAAGGAAATATTTTTATAACTGTTGATCTGGTTTAATTCTGTGATTTGGAAGGGGCCTGGGTTGAAGCTGCCTGAGGCCTCCTTTTGTGGTCAGAGTCCACCGGTTAAGCCTCAGGAAGCCGGGCCCTTGGGGGCGGCACAGGGAGCTGGGGTTGAAGGGCCTCCTGGGTCGTTCGCGCCTGGTTCTGAAGGTGATTTGGAGGAGGGCTGTGGATAAGCCGCCAGAATTCAGACATCAAGCCTCCTGGGTGATGATTTAAGAATTTTTCTGGCCTGACTGGGTGGCTCCGTTGGTTGAGAATCATCCTGGGCACCTAAAGGTTGCGGGTTCGATTCCCTGTCAGGCCACATACCTAGGCTGTGGTTTGAACCCTGGTCAGGGAGCAAACAAGAGGCACCCGTCTC